TAGAGAAATAATGCGGTTTGACCCTGCTTAAACTGCCACGGCTCCATGATATGGGATATTGGGATTTGTAGTTTTGGGAGCTATTTTGCCCATGTCAGTCAAACTGCTTTCACTCTGTAACTCCGCAGCCTTGAGCTTCCATGGATTTTGGTATCGCCGCGGGGTCCTGGAACCAAATCCCAGCGGATACCAATGGCCCACTGTATGTGCATACACATGGGTTATAAATGTATGTATACACCCACCCACATTTCCATGTGGACACGTGTACTTAGATGTGGATCAACGGAACTGCCTTCATTTTGGGGCACGAGGCTTAGGGGGCTGGCCGATGGAAAATTTAGACTTTCAAATTTCCCACCCCACTCCTAGGCTTGAGAACAAGAGATGCCCCTCTCTAGATATTCCATATTAACCTATGTAATATTAGCAATAGCATATTAATATTATTAATACTACTACTACTACTACTACTAATAATAATAATAATAATAATAACAACATATTAATATTATTCCATTTTGAAATGGGGGACGTGACATCCCTTGCTGTCTGATGCGAAATGTTGGCAGCCTTCCTTGAAAGCATTTTAGAGGGTCCGAATGACCCTCTGAAAGTGTCCCTTTGCTGTGCCAAGCAGATAGGAAAGTCTCATGCCATCCCTCTCTTCTTGCCCCCAACTTGGCTCTCCCCGCCGCAGATCCGGGAGGAGATTGACAAATTCGGAATTAAAGTGTATCAGTTTCCCGAGTGCGATTCGGATGAAGACGAGGACTTCAAGCAACAAGACAGAGAGCTGAAGGTGCGGAAGGGGAGAAAATAGATTCATAAGACTTGGGATGCTATTCTTTACTGTTTACTGTTTGTTATAGCCACTTATTTTAACAATGTTTTTATACTGTTTCATTGTTTAATACTCTTTTAAGGGTCGGGAGGTTTATGGGCTATATATTGTATTTTTACTGCAATTTAAATGTTGCAAGCCGCCCCGATTGCATATGCAGAGGGGCGGGATAAAAATAAAATTTTATTATTATATTATATCTTATTCTATATACCTGAGGTTAAGCCTCAGATGGAGTTTGGAGAGGTTGCTGGCAAACAACCCAAAACTCCAACCCTACTTAGAAGGTAAAGGTTTAGAAGGCAATCTCGGGCTGCATCGGCACTGCAGAATTAATGCAGTTTGACACCGCTTTAACTGCCGTGGCCCCATGCTTTGGAATTCTGGGATTTGTAGTTTGGTGAGACATAGGCTTCTCCATCAGCATGCTCCGGTGCCACCGCAAACTCCATCGACCCTCCAGGGTTGCTGATCTACAACTTTGACCATCCCTCATTGCTGGCAATGTTGGTTAGGGCTGATTCGAGTTCCAATTCTACAGCCTATGGAGGGCCATGCATTCCCTAGCATGTGTGCAGGAGGGTACCTAGATGTTTAATCTATTTGAGAAGAGGATGAAATCAGCCTCGGAGAACGGCGGAGTCTCCTTCTTAGGAGGTCTTGAAACAGAGGCTGGATGGCCATCTCTTGGGGGTGCTTTGATGGAGAGTTCCTGCATGGCAGAATGGGGTTGGACTGGATGGCCCTTGGGGGCGTCCTCCAAATCTAGGATTCTATGATTATGTAAACAAAATGCAACATAACCCAAGTCAAAACTCAAGCGCTGCATCCCTCTTCTCCTCCTGTTCCAGGAGAGCGCTCCCTTTGCCGTCATTGGCAGTAACACAGTGGTGGAAGCCAAGGGCCAGAGAGTACGAGGGCGCCTCTACCCCTGGGGCATTGTGGAAGGTAAGCTCTGAGCAAAACATCAGTACATAGTGCTAACTACTTGAATGCAAACCACCTAACCCTCCCATAGTATGAAAGAAATTCCCGTTGCTCTACCCTCCGCCCTTGTGGTCTTGGTATCTCTTCCAAGATTTCATAGACGCCCATTGGGATGGATGTCACCAAGCAACATTAGACTGCAGTCTGGATGGCAAAAGTTCTTAATGGGGAAGGGCACACAAGGTAGGAGAGACTGCAGCGGTTTGCTTTTGCCTGCGCCAACAGGGAAGGGCAAGAGTCAGTCTGGCCTTTCCTCTCCTCTCCCTGCTGCTACTCGAGTGCAAGCTACTTTTGCATTTTGAGCTCAGTTTGCAGCGACTGGAATGAAGCTGAGGACCAAAGGGGAAGGACAGAGGCAAGGGGACATGGGTCAGGAAGCCGAGAAAGTGGCACAACAGGACTGATTGGGTCTGTCTTTGCCAAAATGGAAAGCTGAGGGATATAAGATCACCGTGTTCTTAAATGTCATTTTCAAAACCAGAACAAGGATATTAGAAAATTGCCAACTGTGTACAAGTGACTTTTACTATCATTATAAGCCGATGTTCTATATGGTTTAATTGTTTCTATTACAGTGGATCCATGGGCCCCAGATCCCTGAATTCAACCAACCACAGATCATCATAATATTATATTATATTATATTATATTATATTATATTATATTATATTATATTATATTATATTATTAAACATTATTAAATGGTGGCTCTGTGAACATGGACACGCTGAAGTGTGTGCATTCACATTGCCACCTTTTAATAATATGGGGTGTGATCATCCACGTTTTTTGGTATTCAAGCAGGATCCTGGAACTAAACCCTTGTAGATCCAAAAGGCCCACTCTATTAGATATCTTTGTATAGTTTCTTTTCCCCTGGCAAGTAGTCTGTGGACTGACTACAGCAAATTCATCATTAATCTAGAAGGTTTTACACATGAATATCTAATGCAGCGATTCTCAAACCTTAGTCCTCCAGATGTTTTGGACTTCAGCTCCCAGAATTCCAGAGTGTTGGCCAAGCTGGTTGGGGTTTGTGGGAGTTGAAGTCCAAAACACCTGGAGGACCAAAGTTTGGGGATCACTATGTATGAAAGTTTAGCATGTAAAGGAAGAATGGGAATGGTCTTTTATACGGTCCCCAGGTATCCCCATCATTTTTTAAAAATTAAAACGGAGAACTCCACTTCTGGATTTTCATCAGAAACTAGAAGCATAGC